TGTTCAGGCATCTGTTTCGACGACCCCTTTGAAATGTCTCATTGTGTGCTCAATAACCTTCATATTTACATCGAATGAATACATACCCCAAGGAAACCTTTTACAAGCCTCAAGATCATCCACAATCCTCAGGAATAAGGGGTCAACAGATGGTGCTCCCTTACCGGTTTTCGTTTTCCCACTAACTATAGAGGATAAGAAGTAAGCGACACACATCTTCAACCGATCAGGATGAGCTATCCCTCGCATTGACTCTAGATTTTTCTCAACAGCAGCAAGGGAGGGGACAGTTACCTCGAAATATCTATTCTTAAACGAAGAACTTCATATGCTCTCATTGTCCTCTGGGTACGGTAGACAGTTTAATCCACACAAAAGGGTATGCTCTCTAAGGGAATAGCGAATTGGTATGCCATTCACTACAAACCAAGCTTCCCTCTTCTTATTTGTGTTTGTTGTCCGAAGAAGAAGCAACCACATTCTCATTATCTTGTGTGTCGTGTCCTCATGCATGACCTTATGCATGTGCCAAAAGTGCTTGAACTGTGGATGTTCTGTAAACCATATCAGCTCATGGGGTTCAAGGTCTAGGGACTTCAATTTCGCAACAGCTTTGTGGATATAACATCTTGTTCCCAGATTTATTGCATTATGATACTGACTAGGCTCGAAGAACATTCTCACGGGTGGCAATGGCTGGTTCTCTTCCTCCTCAGCCTCAGTTTTAGTATTTTCAGTATTGTTCTGCCACAACACTATCTGATTATTACCCGTCTCTGAATCAGCAACTCCTTCTACCATTTTCTCCTGCGACGATTCAAAATCTGAGTATAGTTCTTGTCTAGCATATCTAAACACTCTTCAATACTATCCTTTTTTTTTTACAACAAAAGACACCATTCACTACGATTGCGGCGAAAAGCTCTCCTCTAAGGGTAGCCAAGAAGGAGCCGCAACGCTTACATGGGAAAACTTGACTCCTCGTGTCCGAGCGGCTTTAGCCAATCTGTCAGCACGGATGTTACACGATCTAGGAATATGTCTTAAGCTGAAAGATCTGAAACATGAGGATAAGGACTTGAAATCTGCTAGCTCGGATGCGAATGAAGGCCAGTCCGCAGGATGCGTGGTCATAGAGATCAAATCCAGACAGTTCGTGAAAAAAGATCCGCAAATCACATGAGAGGAGAGGATGCATTTCATAGCCCAAAGGAGTGAGTCCAATTCAGCGTTTAATGGAGAAAGGCTTCTATTTGCGCCCTTGAGGCCCACTAGAATGGTGTTCCGACCCGATGTAACAATCCAACCATAACCACTAACAGAGGCAGATCCTAGCCACGATCCATCGAAATAGCATCTAATCTCCTCGATGACTGGACGGATAGGTGGAACTTCTACCTGGTCCTGACGGATCTCTTCGGTTTCCTCTATATTCGCTCTCCTCCAAGCCTCTTCTTCCGCTCTTGCATGATCTAAAATGTCAGGTGGGGGTTCGTCCACATTCTCAAACACCTTTCTGTTCCGAGCTTTCCACAGGAACCAGAGAAGCCAGGGGAAGATGCGGAGGTGTTTTTCGCTAAGTCCTGACTCTTTCGCTCTCCAAAATAGATAATCAAGGTTACCATAAATGGAGGATTGGGGAAAGATGTTTGGAGCTGAAGGGATAGTCGATAAGGCCCGTACTTGCTTCGACGGTGGGCACTCAAAAAGCAAATGGTTAATTGTCTCCTCCTCAGCGCCGCATCTCGGGCACCCTTTATCTCTTCCGATGAGCCGAGAGAATAAACGTTGGCATGTTGCCACACTGCCATTTAAACATTGCCACACAAAATGTTTGATCTTTCGTGTAGTTTTTAATTTCCATGCCTGTGCCTTAAGTACCGTAATACCAGGTCCCTGAACAGGGGGGTCACAAGACAGACGAGATAAGGTCCTCGCATTCCAATATCCTGATTTTACGGTGTAGTTTCCAGATCTAGTGTGAATCCAGCTGTATCCGTCTCTCGAGTAAGCTTGACTCGGACGTAACCCTAGGATAAGGGTGATTTCCTCAGGGGGAAAAAAGCTCCTGGAGGCGATCCAGCTTCCACTGCTTAGTCTCAAAGTCGATCAAGGAGTTAACGTACATAAGCGGATCGCGGTCCGGCAAAATGCCTTTGGGGGGTCTGGCTGGAGAGTCGGGGATCCATGGTTCCGACCAGACGCAAGTATCAAATCCAGAACCAATAGTTTTCCGGATACCCGAGGCCAGAAGTGGTTTCGCCGCTAGCATACTGCGCCACCCGTAAGACGGCCGGTTAGAGACACTGACTTCAAACCCCTTTAATACTCGGCATAAGAGGGAATCTGGGAATCGAAGAAGTCTCCAAAGCTGTTTAGCTAGTAAAGCGATATTAAAGTCCTCAAGGGTCCTAAAACCGAGCCCTCCTTCTTTCATTTGTTCACAGAGGGCCTCCCACGCCGACCAGTGAATTCCTCTACTCTCGCTCTTAGAATTCCACCAAAAATTGGCTATTGCACTCTTTAGCTTAGAGCATAGGGTTCTTGGAAGGAGAAAACACGACATTACGTATGTTGGAATAGCTTGTGCTTGGGATTTTATCAAGATTTCTTTTCCGCCTTTCGAAAGCAGTCTAGAGGACCAAGAGTTAACTCGGTTTTGCAACCTATCACGGACGAATGCAAAAACCTGAGCTTTCGATCCTTGGATCTTCTCCGGGAGGCCTAAATATGTTCCCATCCCTCCCTCTTGGGGAATACCAAGGGTAGATTTGATCTCTTGTCTCGTATCCGAGGGGATATCGGCTCCGAACATTATGGAGGATTTGGCAAAGTTAATTTGCTGTCCCGAGGCCTCGCCATAAGAGCGGATAATGTCAATAACTTCTTTGCTTTGGGCGATGTCAGCCTTACAAAAGAAGAGGCTGTCATCAGCAAAGAGAAGATGAGACGTAGTTGGGCTCGCTCTCGCGATCTTTATCCCGTGAATCCTCTCCTCTGATTCTGCGAGATGAAGCTGGGATATCAATACCTCCGTGCATAGGATGAAAAGGTATGGTGAAATAGGATCTCCTTGCCTAATGCCCCGCGATGGTTTGATACTTCCCCTCGGTCTTCCATTTATGAGAACCTTATACTTCACCGAGGTAATGCAGTACATGATCCAACAAATCCAACGGGGGTCAAATCCCATCTTAGTCATAAGAGATTCAAGGAAATGTCACTCGACCCTATCGTAAGCCTTGCTCATGTCAGTCTTTATTGCCATATATTTCTTCCGACATGCGGGATTAGAGCGGAGAGCGTGAAAATTTTCTTGTGCAATAAGGATGTTGTCCGTGATCAGTCGTCCAACCACAAAAGCTGATTAAGTCTCGGAAATAATTTCCGGAAGGAGTTTCTTCAAGCGCAAACTCAATACTTTGGAGATGACCTTGTAGCCTACATTACATAAACTGATTGGTCTGAATCCGGAAATCTCCCTAGGACGGTCTCCCTTGGGGATGAGACATATATTGGTTTCATTCAGGTGTTCTTCAAAAGATCCTGATAGCTAGAAGTTCCTTATCATATGAATGAGGTCTCCCTTTATCGTTTCCCAGAATTTCTGGAAGAAAAGAGCTGTGAGTCCATCAGGATGTGGGGCTTTCCCCGAGTTCAAGGAAAACAGAGCTCGTTTCACTTCCTCTTCAGACACTTCCCGGGTCAAATTTTCATTCATCGCCATGGTAATTTTTACGGGAATATTTTGAAGCACTGAAGACGGATCTCTCGAATAAGAGGAGGTGAATAAAAGACTCAAAGTATCCCACTGCAATCGACTCGATGCCCTTTTCGGTCTCCACCTATTCCCCATCGGAATTTAGAAGCCCAAGAATCTGGTTCCTTGCTCTTCACTGTTTCGTCGATGCGTGGAAAAATTTGGTGTTGTTGTCTCCCTCTTTTAACCAATTAGCCCTACTCTTTTGCTGCCAATAAAGTTCTTCCTCTCGGTAGGCATCGCATAACCGCCATTTAAGAGTTAAGAGATCTTCCGATGAGACATTGTCGTCCTCTATTGCTTTGTCTATCTCCTCCTGAAGTTGCTGAATCAACTTCTGGGAATTTGTAACAAGACCTTTTTTCCAAACCGAAATAGCTTGACGACACCTCCGAATACGGCGGGCAAAAGAGCCATGACTTTGGCCCATCGGATCCCCCCACCCTTGTTTCACTGATTCTTCAAGACCGGGCTTGCCAATCCACCGTTTGTCAAACATGAAGCTCTTATAGTAGCGCATTGGTGAACTACCAATATAAGCGAGCATTGGTCTATGGTCTGATCCCCACATTTTCAGATACTCCACATTAGTGTGGGAGAAGATGTTATGCCAATCCTCATTCCCTAAGGCTCTATCCAGTCTACACTTGATAACTCCGTTTTTTCTCTTGCCCACCCAAGAGAGTGGATTTCCTTGGAATGGGAATTCAATCATACCACAATTTTGAATCATTGCCTTAAAGGGAAGAAAAGTCGCCTCAGATCGTTTTTTGCCGCCACTCTTTTCGTGATTACCAGTAATTTCGTTAAAATCACCTATAATGAACCAAGGTCCATCTCGGGAAATACCAATACGGGAAAGACGCTCCCAAACATACTCTCGGTTTTTCACAACAGGGTCGCCATAAATGAAAGACATAAAAACTCGATTTCCATCAATAATAGTTTCAACATCAATCAAACGATCATCCAAATGAAAAATCTTAACCGGAAAGTCCTTAGAACAAAAAAGAGCAAGACCTCCACTGTTCCCTATTGGGTCGACAGTATGGAGGTTATCAAATCCTAGAGAAACTTGCATATTCTGCAGAAAATAACGATTGTTTTTGGTCTCAGATAAAAACATAAAACCTGGAGAGTATCTAAGACATAACTTTTCCAGTCGGCGGGAAGTTAGCTCGGCCCCCGCCCCTTGGCAATTCCAAGCAAGGATCCTCATTTGGGAGGTTTAGGAGGAGTTTTAGAATCCTCCGAACCTTCCAACTTCTTGTTTTCCTTTGTGATCTTGGATTTTGGAACTGAGATGATAGTTGGGGTCGTCTCCCTCCGGAAGCTTCTACTTCCAGGTACCGCCGGCGCAGCTGATGGAGTACCGGATGTCATGCCTGAGCGTTTCTTCGGAGGGCTCTTGTTCTGGAAGGGTTTGAGCTTCTTCGAAGCAGCAGCAGACACCTTAGGACTCTTCGAGATCTTCTTCTTTTGACTTGGTTTCTCTTTTGGAATATGAGGAGAGGACTTCTGGCTCTTCCTTGAATGGTGGTGATCGGGAGAGCGAGTTCTTTTGCTTGTTGGAGATTGGGAGAATACCGAAGCCACCACGGAGGAATGTGTGACCGGCACGGCAACTTCTGAGATCGTGCGCTCAAGACTCACCGCACTTTCACCTGCAGCGTGATCCTCTCCCAACAGGTCATCTTCATCCATAGCTTCTTCAGTCATCATCATCCTCTCACACTCGTCCAAAATCCTCAAGTCCTCCTCTGTTAACACAATGTCTTCTTCCATTCCATCTGCACGATCCTCCCAATCAGTGGGGACAGAGTCTGTGCCGAACATGCTTCTTGCCTCATCAGTTACGTTCTCGCATCCAAAGACAGGTTTCTGGTGAAGCTCCTCCAAGGCTGGGATGATCTCACCGAACGGTGGAGAGTGAATTGCGCCTGAAGCGGAGCCCACTTCAAGGAGTTTAGGGGAGGATTCGAAATCGCCTGCATCACTGTTGGCGTCTTCCTCTTCTTCCATAACAGCTTTACCTTTTCCTTTGTCCAAGGGATCAGCCGCTTTTTCAGCTGGTGGAGCAGGGGATGATGGCTCCCTAATTGTGATTCCGTTCTGGTGTCTCGGCGGGCGCGAGTTACCCCACTGGTCAAAACTGAGATCATTTCTCGGAGAAGAACGGTTGCGACGCTGAACAGAGGCCGCCTTTTCTTGACGTTGCGAGCTTCCCCGATTAGATTCAGTCCTTTGGATTTCACGCCAGAGCTCGTGACTGGAAGCTGACTCATGAGGCCAACGTTTCCTAGATCCAGCGGAGGAGTGGGAAGACTGCTCCCGGTGACGGGGAATGTGAGAAGTGCGATCTCCACTTAAGCGTTTCCAAACAGAGCCACGAGCCTCCTCTTGTCGGATTCTCTCGTCACCGTGGTACAAGCTCCTCCGCACCGGTCGATGAGAGAGGGAGCGAGAGGGAATGGGAGCCTCCTTTTCAGGGAGTGAGCTCGAGTTCTCATTCACCCGAACAGAACCTTCGAGCTGAGAAGAGCCGCGGCCAGATCTGCTTGGTCTGACAGCGAGATTAGGATTGGTGAGAGAGAGGTTTCCCTCTGGCTGAGATGCTCTAAACCGACGACTGTCCCTTGGAGGCGGGATCTGTCTGGTTTCACTGCTTCTTCTCCGTTCAGCAGCAGGGAGCGTAGGGCAAGCATGAGCTTCATGGGATATCATGTTGCATATGGAACAGAACCGGTAGAGTCTCTCGTACTCTAGCGTTACAGTGATTTCCTCGGAAGAGTTAAAAAGAACCTTCTTTTTGAACTTCAAAGGTTTAGTGACATCAATGGCCACCGAGACTCTTCCATCATTAACGTCGACTTCTTTCACCATCCCCAGAGCGTTACCAATTCTTCGAAGAACATCTTCCACCCAGAGGTGGAGAGGTATACCTCTGATGGTTATCCAGAAAGTTACACAGCTCGGGAAATCATCCCGGACCCGGATATTTGGCTCCCATCTTTCCAGAGCAAAATTCCACTTATTAAAGTGGCAAGGGCGCTTCTTGAGAACCTTCAAGAGATCTTCTTCTGTTTCAAAATCGAAGTGAAAACATCCATTTCCGAGATCCACACCTCTCACTCTTCCCGCAACATCCCAAATACCAGATCTGGGCATGAAAGCAAGGAGAGCATCAGTACTTCTTCCACCGGTGTGAAAGATCCTTCCAATGAGGATAAGTCGGAGTCTTGCTATCAGAGCAGAGGAGTCGAAGGGTGGGATGACCACCGGTTCATCTTCGTCGTCAGAGTGGTTTTGGCGGCCTGTGCCATTGTTGGGGGGAAGCTTCATTGTTCGGTGACCTCTGAGGAAACAGGGGAGCAAACAAACCAGAGCCGGGAAGCAGCAAAGAAAGATCGAAAAAGAAGAGGGAGAGATGGTGGGAGCGAGAAAAGAAAGTAAGACCAAAATGAGATTGTGCCAGAATGTTCACAGCTCAAGAGATTTGGTGGGGAAAAGGGGAGCAAAGGGAAGAGAGAGGCCAGATCTGTCGGGAATTCAAAGGAAAAACATCCTTCAAGATTCCGTACAGTGCGGCGCTAGAGAGAAAAGTCCGTACAGTAGGGCGAACTCTCACTCTTCGATACTATCCATGACTCCTATTATGTAATTATCAACCGAATAGAGAACATATAAATCAAATTTTGGATTCTACACAAAATCGAGTTCAAATCTACAAAGTAATCTAAATAGAAATTAAAAATCAGAGGACAAATCAGAGGACGAAGATGAATGAACCTGATTTAACGTTGATTCAAGATAGGCAGCAGCAAATCACTCGTAGTTGTCCCGGAGAATACTAGACAACGACGACGACGAGAGGACGATTTCGAATTTTGAATTTTTTTTTTAATTTTACAAGTATAATTGCTATTTAGGGTTTGAGTTACCATAATTTTGGCCGAAGACCCGATTTCTTCGGATTCAACCCGATATAACAGACTGGATGTAGATTTTCGTGGTTGGGTTCGTAAATATGAAACTTTACTAAAAATTCCAAGTATTTGACCGCTTTTCTTCTTTTTTCTTCCTTTAAAATAAATCGAAAACAAATTAAATATTATAAAGAGGGGATATGAAAATTGTTTTAATGCGGAATGAGTACGCGGAATTATTCCTCTCACATGCCAATGTATCTCCATTCCTTTGGTGACTCTTCCACCTCTGTCTTGTATCTACCTTAAGAGGCTTATCAATTGTACTTTCAAAATAATTCCTAAAAGTTTCAAAGCAGTTTGTAAGTGATAAAAAAGAAGAAGAAAAAAGTCACCTCTTCTTACATATATCACATCTGAAGGGAGGAAAAAGGTCTGAAGTATTGCTGTTTGAATTTCTGAATAGCATCTCTCAATCTACTATATTAGTAGGGGTTAATCTTACTAAGTATTATTAGTATGAGGTACACTCGGGAATCTTCTTAGGTAGCATTGAGTTAGAAAAAATCAGTATATGGAGGATAGAAGACACTTTTGATGTTGTCGAAAAGATGTACAAGTTTCTTTCAAATTAAGCAACCTGGGTTCTTTTTTTTTTTTTTTGTTATGTCCTTGAGGATTACTTTGCAAGAGATAGAGTCTCGGGTTAAAATTTTACATATACTCTGTGAGTGTACGTTCTTATGATGCTGATTGCTTGAGAACCAACTAATAAAAGTTAGTTGTGATCCTGAACATGATGAACCAAATGACAAGTTTGTGGCCAAATGGACTCAAGTGTCTGTCAAATTCAGAAAATTAGCTTTTTCCATTACAGCTATTGTAGACATACATTATCGTCGCCGGGTTCGTTTCTTCAGCTATTACCCTTAAGCAATTATATCTTTCTTTCGACCATATCATATCCAAATAAACTCACATTGAATCATCAGAATCTTCGGATTCACTTCTCACGTCTATTGGATTATTATTAGTAGTAGTCCCTGTCTCAGGAGCTTCAGGCTTTTCAACAGGTGTAGAAGGTGAAGAAGAAGAGACTTTCTTATTTGCGTTGTTACTAGCATTCTCGTTCGCAACTGTTTCCTCTTGCTCATTTACCTACACACACAAATTTTTAAAAAAACAAGTCCACGTAAAAACCGGAGCTACTTCCACTCGTATTGAAATCAAATGAGAGTAAAATCTTACATTTTCGACTGTTCCGCCACTTAAGATATTCAGCAAGTCTCTCTCAACCCGCTGTACAAGCTCCGGCTGCATCATTTTGACAATCAATAATATGTTATGTTAAAAGTAGAAACCGTGCACTAATTACAAAACAGCTACATGCATCAAGATTCAATCACAACTTTCAAACTAGAAAACCCGAGGTTTTCATTTTTTTCTTCTCTGGCTTAGAATCACAACCCATTGGGTAACCTAAGGATCAGCAGAGCTCTCTCTGCTGCTTAATGTAACAATCAATGGCAAAAAGTGTGATGATTGATAAATTACATTAAGGTCAGGCTCTCGACGGAATCTTCTCTTTCGAGCGTCCTTCATTGGAGGAGTTAGACCATGTCTGTATTCAACTGTATTAGGCGCAGGATCACCAGGCTCCCTGACCATGATCATCTGTGTGCCAAATCAAAGCATTCATATTGCTTTTTAGCATATAAAATCAATACATGTACTAATGTAAAGCAAAAGACGGGTCAAGTAGAATGATTTTACCTGCCCAATATCAGCAGTTTTGACTAATGCACAATCATCATAAGTTTTAAAGGACTCAACAACAGCAGGAAGATCAAGCAGAGAAGCCGGGAACTCTTCGTTTCCAATTACAAACGTCCCGCTTCTTCCGTCCTCTGCAAACTCAAAACAAAACGGTATTCAAATTCACACAAAACCTAAAAATCAAGTTTGCTTCATAGACAATGCAAATGGATTGTCTACACAAACTTTAAATCAGATTCAAGAATGATGCAACAAGAATGTCTTTCAGGCTTCTCTGAAAAAACATTGAATTTAACACAGACACCAATATCAAGCTGCTCCAGAGACAATGTTAAATGGATTAACAGACAAACTTCAATCCTTAGATCAGATTCAAGAATCAGGCGACAAGAATGTATTTTGAATTTCTGTATCGAACATTCAAGAACATATCAGCGAACTTTCAGTGTCGGGCGCAAACGATCCAGAGATAATTTCCGACTAAAGGACATATTTTTATGAAGAAAGGATGAAACTTTGGAGGGTTAAACCCAATTTAATGTGGTAAAAGAGGCAAAGCTTTTAAATTGGTGAGGAACCCAACCTGAAAAACACAAATCTAAAGGGATTTCATCGGAAGAAGAAGCCTCTTCGCTCAAAAGCCGATCAATTCGCTCTGAAACAGACGGTGGAACCCTAAGTATGAACTGTTCCTCCATTAAAGGTATCACCAACGGCTTGGCTTAAAGTTGGATTTGTGCAGATTGGATTGAAGACGTGCCCCTAATTTTTCCCGTTTAGTGATGTCGTGAGTCAAAACGAGAAGAGACGAGAATCTATAGAATCACCAAAGCTTCTTTTATCTTTGTTATGTAAGAAAATCAGAAGTTGGAACATTGAAGAGAGAGACATGATGATAAACCGGCTTCTAGAAAAATCAGTAATCTTTTTTATTATTTATTATTTCCCCCATTAAGTTTCGAGATTTTATTCTGTGACCAAAATATTTCCCACGCAATCTGCTATTTTATTTCATTGGTTTTTCTTCCTTTAGACAGTTGATAATACCATTACGCACATATAGAAACAACCAAAATTAGACACACCCACATCTTAATAAGGAATATAATAATTACCGGAAGTGGAAACCAAATCTAAATCTTCGAAGGCGACCTTTTTCTATTATATAGAGTTTGAGGCAAAAAGCAGTGTTTACAAAGGATTTGGGGGGTTAAATGCAAAACTAAACAATATAAAAAACCCTATAACTCTTGTCATTCTAGATCAAAAGGGGATTTTAGGTTTTCTATTTGAAAGATTTATCCATCTTCTCCAATTCTTACAGCAACGCTGTTCTATCGCCGCCGTTCGCCGGTAAGTCTTTTTCCCTGAGAATCCGGCGTTTTCCCGGCCATGATTCCTTTATCCTGATAATCTATGTTCGTTACATTGAAGTAAAGTCCGTATTTTTCTCGATTTTGATTGAATCGCACTTTTTTTTTTTGTGTGTGTGGCTATGCACATATAACGTTTATTTACTTATTAAACTTGAAGTATGAGCTGATTCTATCTCCATCTGAACCGCTTACGATCTCGCTTAGTGTCCGTCTCTTTGATATAATTTTAGATATCAATTGGAACAAATATGATCTTTCTTGAGCAGTGAGTTTTATCATCATAGTTATCTCTGTAAGATGTTCTATGATGTAACCCAGTCCTAAGGTTATATTATGTTTTTCCTCATGTGGATATTACAGTATATAAGGGACTGGATTTGGTGATTTCAAACTAGGCTGAATGATTCTCTGAAGCTCTCTTTGGCCCTAGTGTTAAATATAGCTCTTACGCATGTGGCCTCTTATTTCTTAAACATCTTACCTTTTTCTCTATGTTTTCTAACCCAGTTTGTGTTGATTCACTGATAGAGAGGTTGAAGTTTGCTGCAATGAGGGGAAGGAGCTACACTCCGTCACCACCAAGGGGTTATGGGAGGAGGGGTCGAAGCCCAAGCCCTAGAGGCCGATATGGAAGTCGTAGCAGGGACCTCCCGACCAGCCTTTTGGTTCGCAATTTACGCCATGATTGCAGGTATATACTTGACTTCTCTATGATTCCCTTCGGCCATTGTTTTCCTGCTTAGGACGATATATATCTGTTCAGACACCTGTTAAACGTCAAGACATGACACCTCTTAACCATAATTTGGCATTATGTTCACTTATATGTACTGTGAATGCTTTCGGATAGCTGATGGATGTCCTCTGAGCGATCTTGATAACTATGTTTTGTTTGGTGAACGCTTGTTTAGCTAAAGAAATCTAGAAAGAAGAGATAACACAAGTTTTTTTTCTTGGTTATCATGAAAACCATGATTTTGTGTATCGTTGGCTATGTCTCCAATCTGTATCCTTTTTCTGGCTTTTAACAAATTTACATCTCTTCTTATATCTCATTCTTTACTTCAGGCAAGAAGATCTCAGGAGGTCATTTGAGCCGTTCGGTCCTCTCAAAGACATTTACTTGCCAAGGGATTACTATACAGGGTGAGCATGTTTAGTAAGACATCTAGTCTTTGAACACTTGTTTTTTACTTAAGTTCTGATTGTATTATATCTCTATCTTTTTCTTCTTCTTTACCACCTTTTCTTGAATCTTTAATTACTACGTTCATTTCTCTTTCTTTGTCCATTCTTTCATTTCTTTGTGTCTCCTCATGGATACTAGGGCCTTGCGAGAATCTTCTAATATGCAATATATTTCATTAATCAAATCTAGCCACCAGTTTTTTTTTTCCTAGTGCCCCAATGACATGAGATCATCATTTGAAGTTTTAATAGAAATAGTGTTCGGTGTCGGTAAAGAATGAGCTTGGATTAGTCAGTTTTAACTTTTAGTTTAGTACCTGTTGAGACATCATACTTTTTAGTCGCTTAAGGAGAAGGATACAATGTTGATATGTTCCATGTGTGAACACACTATGAGTGTGTTAATTGAAGTTGTTGAGGTTTAACAGTGAATCTAGAGAATTGAAGACACCAAAGAAGTAATTAGAGTTCTTATGAAGATGTTCTATATGGTAGTGAAGAGTTGAAGTGAAGTTGGGTTTGTTTTCAATTTGAAGATGAATCAAGTCTTCAAGAAGTCATCTTTATACTGAAACTTGCGAGGTTAGCAGGCAAGTGCTTGCTTTATTACAATGTTTATCCTGATATCTTGTGTTGCAGGGGATCATATTGCCAACTGTCCTTCAACAGACTTGTTGTAAAGTGGTACATCTTTCTTGTCATTTTGTATATTTTGTTCCTAGTCTGAGATCCTGTTTTGTTCTATATGTCAAATGCAGAGATCCGCGAGGGTTTGGTTTCGTTCAGTTTGTGGATCCTGGTGATGCTGCTGAGGCAAAATATCACATGGATGGTTATCTTCTTCTTGGCCGTGAGTTGACTGTCGTGTTTGCAGAAGAGAACAGGAAGAAACCGACTGAAATGAGAGCAAGGGAGCGTGGTGGAGGAAGGTGCATGGAGCTTACTCTTTTTGCACTTTTCTATCATCAAATATCAGTAAGTACTTGATGCAGAGATGCCAAAAACCCAAAACTTTAACATTCTTTTGTGTTTGTAGGAGCAACAGATTTCGGGATAGAAGGCGTAGTCCCCCTCGTTACTACTCTCGCTCTCCTAGGCATTCTCGTTCTCCTCCCCCTCGACGTGGTAGATCTCGGTCACGGAGCGGTGATTATTATTCTCCTCCTCCTAGAAGACACCACCCAAGGTATACAAATGTTTTGTCTGAAGTCCATTACAGAGCTCTGTGTAGACACAAAACCATTCTCCACTTGATAAACTTTTTCTATGCTCAAACTCTATTGTCGCAGGTCTGTCTCTCCCAGGGAAGAACGATATGATAGGGGGAGGTCATACTCGCGCTCACCTGCCTACAATGGCTCAAGGGGTCGCAGTGTAAGTCCAGCCAGAAGCATAAGCCGCAGCCCAAGAAGGAGCATAAGCCGCAGCCCAAGAAGAAGCATAAGCCGCAGCCCAAGAAGTAGGAGCCCGAGCCCGAGGAGAAGCAGGAGCTACACACCTGAACCAGCCAGAAGCCGCAGCCCGCGTGAGGAGCAATTGGAAGATCGTTCACCAAGCCAGTGATTGATTCTTGACTCTTTTAATCGTCTTCTCTAGATTATGGTTGTCTCTCTTGTTTCTTATCCGAAGACAAAGTTAAGATGATTTGATAAGACGAGAGTGAATGTTGACTTCTAATGTTTTGATGATTCATGGAGTATTTTGATAACATGTTACTGTTACTGTGACCTCTTTTAAGATTTAAATTTTGAACTTATTTATAGATGAAGGTTGCAAGTTGCAACACAAAAAGATTAAAGCAGAGGAAGACGGCCTCATAGAACATAATCTTTTCCTTTCTTTCTGAACTACTTTCTTAGAAAAGGTTTGGCTCAGAGCATGAGATGGAGTCATTAATTTTGTACCTTGTGGCGTAGAAGTGGCCAAAATCTTAGGAATTGTGCAAATTATATAAATCACACTAAAATGGAAAACTGTACTTAGCTTCTGAGTGAACTGTAAACACCTAAAACAATTCAGGTGAAGACAGAACCAGAAAACAAGACCTGAACGCTAAATGATGAGTCTGAGAGAGGATTAAGGCTGTAGACAGCACCAGACCACTCGGTTTTCCCCCAAATCTCTCCTCCATCGCGTCTCTCCACAGAAATCTCGGCAGACCAAAGCTCCAAACTCCCTTCAACATCATGAAGCTGCTTGTTCCAGAAGATGACAATGTTCCCAGCAGAGTTTGTGCAGAGTTTGGTGATATCATAGTTTACACAGGTCGTGGGCCGACCCCACCGATGTCTCCGACCACAGAGATGTTTCACTCGCAGCTCTTCCAAACCTTTCACTTCCTTCCAATCCAAACTCCGTGAATCATCACACCACAGTATCCTCCCGCGAGTTCCACGACAGTATAGCTCTTTACCAATGACACACCAATCGCTTCTGTGTCCCGCAAGCTGAGAATCTGTTTTGCACATCGCTCTTATCCTCTTACTTGGCACGATGCAGAATCTTCGACCATCCTCGTCCATCGCAAAAATCACATTCTTCCCATCATCATCTATCATCACCACGCTTTGTTGGATCTCCGCGCCGTACAAATTCTCCTCCGCGTCTCGCTCCGTCCACAAGAACTCCCAAGTCGCAGTATTTGGATCGAAAACCTCGATTTCGTTTGCCCAGTTTGAGCAAGCCACCGTCCCTCCAAACACGTGTATCTTCCCGTCTACGAGGCTTGCCGATGCAAAAGCACGAGCCTTTCTCATGGGCGGGACTCGGTACCATATGTGAGAGAAGCAATCGAGAAACCACACTTCCCGAGTGCGTTTCCCGTTTTTGAATCCACCGATTACGAAGATCCCGTTATCTGCCACCACGAAAGAGGATGAATCTGGAGCCTGATTAGGATTCGACCGGATCGGGCTTAGTCGACGAAGGTTAGGAGTGAGGATGAACCAGCGTGGGGTCGTTTTGGGAACGATGCGTAAGCAGACGTATAAATAGGACTCGGTGTTATTACCCAACCGCGATCTCACTTCGCAGAGCTCAGGGGAAATCACCACAAAACGGTGGCTCTTTGAGGCTATAGCTAACGACGCGAGGTCCGACCTCGAGACTTGAGCTAGGCAACGCATCCGGCAACGAACAAAACCCACAAGACGACGACGACGGATGAGACGCTGACGACGGAGGAGACGACGAGTTCGTCTTCTTCCTCCTTTTATTGGGCGGAGGCACTTCGGAGGCGTGAAAAAAGCTTCCTTTCAATGATTGATCTACGGATTCATCCATGTTCTTGTTCTCGCTCGATTGATTGGGGATTTGTGAGAGTTTAGAATTTTATAGTTTTTTTTGGTTCTTTCCAAAACTAATAAGGATTAGGAGGAACCGTAATTTCCTTTTTATTTTCAGGTATTGTCCAATTCTTACAGCAACGGTTCTCCAGTTGTTCTTTCGCCGCCGTTCGTCATCACAACATTGGTCCACACAAAAAGAGTAGACTTTGTAATTTAGATTTCTGACAACATAGAAAACCTCTGTTTTATTTGCTGTTACCCGCCACGTCAAACAAATCGATCCTTTTAATCTGAAAACCTCTGTTTTATTGGCTCAATTTCCTTCTTTTTTTGGGTTAAATTAAACTAATTCTTGCGGCCGTGTTCAGTGGAAACGGCCAAGATGGGTAGATTTGGTTTCTTGGAGGATTCAAGAACTCTGCAGAGCCAAAGACTATGGTCCGAATCTAACTGAGGAGCTGGGCTTTATTAATGAAGATTAGAACTTTAATCAAGGATACTCTTTTATGAACAGTGACACAAAGGATACTCTTTTATGAACAGTGACACAATTTGCCATTTGAAGCTTTCATGTCCACGAAATCTACCTACCACCAGCGTTAAAACCATCAAAAGGCGATAATTTTGTGGGCAGATAGAGAGAGAGAAAGAGGGAAAGAGATGTGGAAGAGCATAGGAGAACTGAGTAGCGACGATTATGTGAAAGCTGGATTGAATTTGGAAGACGCTAAGGAGTTTGATAAAGTGGTCAGAGATGTGATTTCAATGACTGACCCAAGAGATCAATGGAAGGCGTTGGTGGATGAGAGTGTGCTTAAGCCATGGCATCCTCATTCTCTGCATCAGCTTCTCTATTACTCTGTCTATTCAAATTGGGATTTCTCTGTTCATGGCCCTCCTCTCTATTGGTTTCCTTCTCTGTAAGTCTCTCTCCCTCTCTCTCTCATGAACTTATTCAAATTTCTGAAACCTACCCATAAAGATACACCTGATTGTCTGAAATACTCAGTGTCTGTGTATCTCTTCTTTGACTGTTTTAGATCTCAGTCAAAATCCACAAATTTAGGAAGGCTAATGGAAACTCACGGGTCAAGGCTTCTTGGTGCTTCATACAAAAACCCTCTAGAAAGTTTTGAACTTTTCCGGAGATTCTCAGTTGAACACCCTGAAGTAAGCATTTGGAAAGAAAAAGGGGGCTCTTTTGTGGAGGCTCTGCTTTGGTCTAATTTTATAGAATTTTTTTCAGGTTTATTGGTCAATCATTCTTGAAGAGCTTTCACTTGTGTATCACACTCCTCCGAGGTGCATCCTGGACAAATCAATACCTGCAGGGACATGGCTTCCTGATGCTGTTCTTAATATCGCTGAATGTTGTCTGATGCCTTCAAGCCATCCGAAAAAGGAGGATGATAGTTTGGCTGTTGTATGGCGTACTGAAGGCTTTGATGACTCCCCAGTAAATCAAATGACATTAAAAGAACTCCGCGAACGAGTGATGTATGTTAACATTTCCTTTGCTCTCTTGACTTGTTTTGTTATCTCAATAAGCTTCCATTGATGATTTGATCTCTCTGTTCCCTTCCCTTTTGTTTTGATACATATACTTAAAAAGGTTGGTGGCAAATGCGATAAGTGGAGTTTTTGCAAAGGGTGACACAATTGCAATCGATATGCCAATGACAGTCGATGCAGTGATTATATATCTTGCAATCATTTTTGGTGGTTGTATTGTTGTCTCCATCGCAGACAGCTTTGCAGCCAAAGAAATCGCAACACGGTTGAAAATTTCTAAGGCAAAAGGCATATTCACTCAGGTTTGTGACACATCCTGACTCGCATCTTTTCGCCTTCTATACACAAATCAGATATGAGATGATTCAGTTATTACCGCATTTTCAGGATTATATACTCAGAGGAGGCCGGAGATTTCCTTTATACAGGTGACAAAACGGCTCCTTCCATGGCTGATTGTAGTAACATGATGAACCAACCAACGACATAAGTATGACATACTTTTTTTTTTCTTTTTCTTTAGTCGGGTGGTTGAAGCTGCTCCTTCTAAGGTCATTGTCCTCCCCGCTTCAGAGATTGAATTGCGCGTTCGGTTAAGAGAACAGGACATACCGTGGAAGGAGTTTCTGTCCAATGCAAAAACCCATCTTAGGTAAATGTTTTACGTCTCTACTTTTGCAATCACTCAAATGGTGTTAGCTGAAACATGTCTCCAATTCTGGTTTGCAGTGGAGGGAAATACTATCGTCCGGTTTATCAACATGTAAACTCTGTGATTAACATTCTCTTCTCATCTGGAACTACAGGTAAAAGAAATACAGTATGATCAAATTGTATAGATATATGGTTAAGGTGCATCTATTGAGAAGTTATTTTTCTAAACTAGGTGAACCAAAAGCTATACCATGGACACAGCTCTCGCCAATACGTAGTGCTTGTGATGGATGGGCTCATCTTGATGTCCAAGTTGGTAATACATATTGTTGGCCTACGAATCTTGGATGGGTTATGGGACCAACTCTTATATTTTCTTGCTTTCTAACCGGTGCAACGCTCGCACTCTATCACGGGTCTCCCCTTGGCCGCGGTTTTGGAAAGTTTGTTCAGGCAAGGGTCTAACTTTTGTATCTTGGTAACGTTCGATAGTTGCACACTTATGTGTGCTTGATATTACTTTAGGATGCTGGAGTTGCAGTTCTTGGTACTGTTCCGAGCTTGGTGAAAACTTGGAAGACGACTAACTGTATGGAAGGGCTTGATTGGACGAAGATAAAGTAACGAGCTACAAACTTTGTATGTTTTGTGGTTGTTGAGAAGATTTGACTCAGACGCTGTTTGGTGCTTTGTTAGGTATTTCGCCACTACCGGAGAAGCTTCTAATGTTGATGACGTTCTCTGGCTTTCTTCTAAAGCTTATTACAAGCCTGTGATCGAATGCTGTGGAGGCACTGAACTCGCTTCTTCATACATTATAGGAAGCCCGCTCCAACCACAGGCTTTTGGAGCATTTAGCACACCATCCATGACGACTAGAATCATAATCTTTGACGAAAACGGCATCCCATACGTAAACAAACTGAAACTCTGTGACATTTTTGGGGGTTACTTGTATACAGAGATTGATTGAGACTGGCATTTTGCAGCCAGATGATCAACCGTGTATTGGAGAAGTCGGTTTGTTCCCGCAGCACCTCGGTGCCACAGATAGGCTTCTAAACGCAGACCATGACGAGGTTTACTTCAAGGGAATGCCAATGTATAGAGAAACAGTGAGTCGAGCACATTCACACAGATCAACCAAATTGCAAAGGCAAATCAGTTTAAACTGTTCTGTTCTGTTTTGCAGCGACTTAGAAGACACGGTGACATCGTAAAGAGAACCGTAGGTGGATATTTCAATGTTCAAGGAAGAGCTGATGATACCATGAACCTTGGTGGTATTAAGGTACTACATCAAATTATACTCAACTTGTATCTTGTTGGAACTTTCCTCAAAGTTTTAATCTCTTTGCTCATTTTTTTATATAACAAAGACGAGTTCTATTGAGATCGAACGAGTGTGTGATCAAGCCGATGAATGCATCTCTGAGACAGCTGCAGTCAGCATAACGCCGCCTAACGGTGGTCCAGAGTTGCTGGTTATATTCGCCATCTTGAAAGAAGGCTTCAAGAAACAGAGTGAAGAAGAGCTAAAGATTAAGTTTTCAAGAACCATTCAAAAAGATCTTAATCCTCTGTTCAAGGTAATTTAATATCTTTCCAGCGAAATCAAAGTTACAAATAGTTTGTTTCGCTTAAAAAACGAATGTTGCAGGTGAGTTTTGTGAAGATTGTGACTGAGTTTCCAAGAACAGCTTCGAACAAGCTACTGAGAAGAGTCCTGAGGGATCAGATTAATCAAGAAGTAGGATCCATAAGGAGTCGAATATAAGCCTATGGAAACATATATTTCAAGAAGAAGAAAGTAATTATTCAAAAACTGATATAGTTAATGTTTATTCAAGTTATATTGTTAGGATAGACAATCATGTTGCAAGAGTTTGCATATAATCTTTAACTTACTCGGTCGTTGAGTAGTGATGGGCGTTGCCATCTATATATTTCCTCTATACCAAAGTCAAGTCATATATCATATTAGTTCCTCCCAAATTTTATGTCCTCGTGATCTTACTATACAAGCTTACAACAACAAAAATAAAAAAAACTTTAAGCTATACAAATGATCCGAATTCTACTCGTTCCACCCAAACTCCATCTAAACTTAGAATCATTTTTTTTTTTTGGAAACTAGATCATGTATTTTTGATATTGTAGAAAATTACTTTGAAGACTTTGATAATAATGCGAACGGATCATCTAAGTCATCCATTCTCCAATCAGCTAAATAAATGATTCCAATGTTAAAGAGTAAAGACAATTCAAAGGCATGCAATGGTGAAGCAAACTGATACACATACCAACAACTTAATCTGGATAAAACGTGTGTTTAAAGGGCTTTTTAATTTCGAAATCAAGTAACATCATGTACTCCATAACTGACATTAGTTACAATTTTATCCAAAAACGAAACATTAGTTATTGATTGAGTAACAGTGTTACTTTTGGAAATTGGTGTAATGACATATTAGTGCTAATAGAAAGACGAAATTATTCATATTCTTTCCCATTCTTGCAAGCAAGGCTGTCAAAATATCCATGTTTTCTGACCATTCGACATGATTTTAGGATCGGAGCTTGCAAGAAAGGAGGAAGAAGTATTAGTCGAATGGTTGATAAAATGAAATCGAGTAAATACCCGAAATTGTAACCCTTAAGTGCAATTAAATCGAGTATTAGTCGAACCGAAGTCAATATTTTTTTTTAAGATGACTAATGTACAGTTTGACTTTGGTTTAACTTTTAAGAAGAAAAAAAGAAAACAAAAAAACCCTAAAGAGCGAGAGCGTTTGGATCTGGTTTTTATGAAAGGTGAAACCACGGGAAACAAGTCTTAGAGAGATTTTTTTTTTCTTTTTTTGATCAGGAAGGGAGAGATAAACATAGAAGATCGAGGAAGAATCTTTCGACCGATTTGTATCACTCTTCCTCGACAAATTCTAATCTTGACTTTTTATGGGAATTGTTCCTCCCTCGCGATTCCGAGCTTCTTTAGGTTCTTGACGATTTGAAGTAATGATTCTTATCCTATAAGTGGAGAAAGCAAGCGATTCAAGTGATGTGGACTAATGTTTTCAGAATTGTAAGTCTTCTTACTTCACTTGTCTTTCCATCATCCACATTCTTCTTGTAGTACTAAATTTCCTAGTGTGTGAGAGAAAGAAAGTTCTTGTTTTTCGCTGTAAAAAGTTGATATTTGATAATCTCCTGATTAACTTTCCACAGGGGGGTCTACATAATGTTTCTTGGTTTCAGTTTCTTCCAAGTGAAACTGAGCTGAATCCTGGCTCTGATAGAAGGTTGAAGCTTTTTTCTTTTTTTCTTTTCAATTGGTGTTTACTTGATGTGACAGTGTGTGTGTGTACTAATTAGTCCTGTCACTCTGGAGATTTCAGTTCAAGAGCTGAGCAGAATGATGTTGCATCATATCTTGTGCTTTCATCTCATTTGCGGTTGCAGAAGGAAGGATTTCTTTGCACATGGACCAATTCCTTTGTTGGACCTTGGGATCCATCTCAAGGTTTATACAACCCTGGTAAAGCTTAACCACACTCTCCTAGTTTAGCCAATCTTGTAAGCTTTTAGTTGTATCTGATGATCATTCCTCGCTGCTGCTGCTCAGATGAAAAGATCAAGCTTTGGCTTTTTCTTCCTGGGCGTCATTCATCAATCACTGATAAAGCTCAGGCTGCAGTCTCAAAACTTAGAGGTATATTTTGCTACTCATTTATTGATCGTTTTCCTCAAACCATTTTTGACTCTATTCTGATTTTTTGTTTAATGACTGTTTAATCCATATGTCTGTTCTGGTATACATGTCCTTACTTTTTGTTTCTCCTGTTAAAAGTCGTTGCGTCAGGAATCTGGGTAGCACCTGGGGACTCTGAAGAGATATCAGTTGCCTTTTCACAGTCTTTACGTAATTGCATTGAAAGGTTAGTTTCTTATGATCTCCAGACATAATGGTTGGATTAGGGACATAATGGATTGAAAATATCTCATATTAAGTTGTTTGATATGTGGCCAGAGCATTGACTGGACTTTCCTACATGAGATTTGGAGACGTTTTTTCAAAATTCAGCCCTCAAAGTGAAGATTATTTGAGGTATCAAAAGCGATAATCACTGAGTTCGTTTCTTGAAATATTTCCCTTATGCAAATATACATTTTTTCCTCTGGCTTTCCAACCATATCTCCTCCTATAGCCGCTGCTATCAGTTAAATATGAGTCTGCAAGACCTTTGTTTCCTGAGTGTAATTTTTTAGTTCCGAAGAAATCTATGATTAGGTTTGTGGCTAATGCTCCTTTGATACTTATGCAGGAGGGGACAGCCTACTGTTGAATTCATCTTTGCTGCTACCGAAGAGGCAGTTTTTGTCCATGTCATTGTATCCGCCAAGTCCGTAAAATTTTTTTCATACATTTTCGAAATTATGGTTTAGTGCTTCTTATGTAATTGTGATACTAACACTGAATTTAATGCGCGAAGGAATGTCCGGACACTTTCATGTAGCGATGCCGAAAGACTGTTAAGGAGTTCTTTGAAAAACTCCAGTTATAGGCTTCCAGGTTAGTCATTTTTCCATCATCACTTGCAACGCTAAATTCTGCTCTTGTCTATGATAGCTCAAAAGAAGTTGATGGCACTAGTTCCAGATGTTTATCCATCTATTCCTGCTTTGTACTAATATAGTAGTGAATGAATTAAGAGCATGCGACTTTTGAACTCAATTTTTAATGCATTCGATTCTGAAAAGAAACCAGTGTAGTCTACTGCTACCTAAGTTCCTCGAGCAGAGTTACAGCATCTCATGTTTTTGCATGGCACAAGAGCTTATCTGCATTGTTTTTCTTTCTGGGGTTGGCCAAGAGTGAGATAATAGATTGTGCTACATGTAATCCTTTGAAGCCAAATGTTTTTAGTTGAGACATGAAATGATTGTTGTGCCTTATACATGTGCTTCAAGAAAGATAGGAGCTTTTTCTTTAATAGAAACACTTCTCACAGGCTTATGTTATTCCACCAGTGATTGTTTCTCCTCATGGAATGCGGGGCAGCCTCACTGGATTCTGTCCCAATGACCTTGTCAAGCAAGTCTACTTCAGGTGCAATTCATACCTTTACTTTCGTCCAAGTCAGACATTTTTTGTGAAGTGCTCAGCTAGTAATCTGATGGAACCAATTTTCTCAACTAAAATTAGATTTTTCTGTCCAACAGTTCTGGAAACTTAAGGACTTCGAGTGGATATATTGGTCTCGCTTCTCATGTTGGTCGTGGGCCCCGTATGATAAATGGCAATCATTGTTACGTGGAAGTTACACTTGGTTGCTGCCAAAATATAAATGACAACACAAGTCAAACTAATTCGACCTTCCCCCATAATCAGTGTCCTGAACCTTCAGTTGGGAGTAAAGATCACCGGAAAGGACAACCAGATGTTTTATCGGTGTGTGAAAAAAAGTTCATATATCCAGCTGAGGCAGTGCTTGTGCCAATCTTACAGTCGGCATTTGCTAAATTTTCTTTAAAAAGGTAAACTGTCAAGGTGAGGAGGTTCTTTAGATTTTGTTGAGTAATTAACGGTAAGATCGACATTGGCTATTAACGCTGGCTAATTATGGACAAGTTATATCGTTTATGTTAAAGCTTTCTACAATTTTTTCAGGGTGTGCATGTATGTATTCAAAAAATTGAGTTTGTAGGGTCGTAATGAGAGGGTTTTTAGGATTTGTTTCAGACCCATGTTACAGAGCTTGAAAAAGATGTAATACTTGTGATCTTTCCTCAGCTTGGAGCTGATGCAAGGTGAAATCATACTTGCAGATTTTGGCTTCAAAACTGGATAGGACCATCACTGGCAGGCTCATCGTTATTTATGCACTGGTGAGTCTTTTTCTTCTATTTTGTGAGATTTTTTATACAAGGGAACTCACAAATAGAGGTCTTGAAATGCAATCCCTAACTTCTCCGAAGAAACTGAATGTTGTATACACCTCATGTTTCGCAGCTCCATAGGAGTGAGCTCTGTGGCATTTCTGAGTTTTCGGATATAAGGCTTAGCGATTTTCTTTTTCATTATAAGAGTCTGTTCATGATCCCTGAACATTTTGTACTTTTTTTTATGCAGGGCTGGTGATTTTGACTTCCTTGGAGCATCTGGAAATAAGAGTGACGGATATTATGAAAAAAATGGTTACAATAGCAGCGGCAGTAGCCGTAATAGCAGCATTAGTTCAACAAGTAGTGCGTCTAGCGGGAGTGGTTGGAGAATGACTTCAAGAACTGGTGACCTTGACGCGGATGCAGATTCTTTGACGTGTAGGCAATCTGGTCTAACTTGTAATGATGATCGCCCAAAAATGGTATGACTTTTATCTGTGGCAAGAGTGAAGATTGCATAATACTGCTAACCAATAAGTAACGTTACATTCTTTGCAGGGTTCCAAGCGGCCGCGAACAGGGATGGCAGAGTCATTCGGTCAAGTAGGTACTGTCTCTAATGCACCTATTCAAGAAGCATCTAACGCAGGACTTGGTTCTACTAAAACTAATAAGCTGTTGTTCCAGGCATTGCAAATGATAAAATTGGTTGGGATTGGGATGATGACGACGATGGGGATGATGATAGAGGAGTTGGCATGGATATCCAGGCACTTCTTTCAGAGTTTGGAGACTTTGGTGACTTCTTTGAGAATGATGCTTTGCCTTTTGGGGAGGTAATTGCCGGTCTTCTGTTATCCTTCTTAATAATCTAGCAACTATTACTTGCATTCTCTATGCTGATGAATGATATTCTGGTCCTGCATAAGCTCAGATATCTGGACTGTATCTCTTAGACGTTTGGGAGGAGGGTTGTGCCTCCCTTTCACTCTTCTTGTCATGCCTCTTATTGTGTTTTGATCCTATTGCCTTTGGTGTTCAGTCCTTATCTAATAAAGCACCTAATCTGTTATGTTTGTGTAGCCACCGGGAACAGCAGAGTCTCATGCGCTCATGTTTCCTCCAGATTCTGCTGATGTAGGTTCTAGTCCAGTCGATATGATGGATGTATCAGACCAGATTGTTTTGCCTGTTGGGTTTTCCTCTTTTGAGAGCTTTAATCCTGTTCCTCCTATCATAGACGAGTCCCTTATCAAAAATCAAGAAGTCTTTAACAGCAGTGTCACTTCAGTTCCTATAAATCAAATGTCAAGCTCTTCTACTGGTGAGTTCGATCATTTGATGAAAGCAGAAGCTATGATGACCTTTGCTCCTGAGTATGGAGCTGTAGAAGCACCTATGAGCGAGATTTCCTCGACGTTCTTCAAAAGCCCATATCTTCCCAAATCTCGCAAAGTAGAGAGTTCAAATTCAAGAACGAGTAACTACGTTTATGGACCCACACCACCTGCTACTGATTCTGATGGAGTAGCCGATAAGATTTTGCTGGGATCAAAAGCATGCATTGGCAACAATGATAGCAGAACTTTGTTTCAGTCGAAGTATTACACTCAAGTAGAGAGCAGAAAAGACCAATATGATAAGCTACCTACTGTAGTTAGTGACAACAAGAGTACAAAGGAGGGTGTTTCTCAATTAAAGTATTCAAACTATAGTGCTGGTAGTGCTGTTAAGACCGTACAGGGGAAAAAGACTGACGGCATATCTGGTGTTGTAAGTACTTTATTATCTTCAAAGACCTTGCTGGCAACAGATGTAGGAAGCGTTATGTTCCAAGCTTTCATGTGCAGGATGCGGCACATAGTCATTTCTTCGAAGCACCATTCACCTGTTAGTCTGACTAGGCTTACTGGAAACTTTTTCCTGAACCAGCTGCCAAATGAGCCCAGTACTCTGACAGACAACATATCTGCAAGGAACGAGATATATAAGAAAGAAATACCTACCAGAATAGCTGGAGATTTTGACGGAGGAATGTTAGATAGCCACATGAGTGCACCAGTTGGCGTGTGGCGGACTGTTTCAGTCCCCAAAGCAGCAAAACCTGCTAGTTCGCCGAATATTGAAGCAGGCTCATCCTTGCCCCATAGTTCATTTAGCGAAGACAGCTTGCTTTCTTATGGCCAAAGGCAGCCATTGCAGGAGCTTCTAGACGGAATAGCGCTACTTGTACAGCAAGCTACGTCTTTCGTTGATTTAGCTCTGGATTCAGATTGTGGAGATGGACCTTATGGCTGGCTTGCACTGGAAGAGTTATGGAGACGGGAGCTGTCGTGTGGACCCTCTGCTGGCCATGCAGGTTGTGGGGGAACTTTGGCTTCCTGTCATTCTCTGGACATTGCGGGTGTCAAGCTAGTTGATCCACTCTCTGCTGAGGTAAGCTTTTTAAATGATGTAAGATTAGGAAATGAGGGTACTCAATGTCTTAACGTTCTTAATTGTTAGTTATGGGCTAGAAGTTAACTGGTCACAGATATATCGTATAAAGCTTCTAGCTTGTTCATATTTCTCCTGCTGGTACCTTTTGTCTTCTCTGTGCGACTGCTGGTTATTTATAAGCTACAAGATTATTTCTTCGGGCGTTTTAAACCTGATTCTGATAAATTATTTTTTTTCCAGGTTTTTCCTTCGTCTGTCATTACTCTACTGCAATCTGACATCAAAACAGCTCTGAAATCTGCATTTGGTCAGTCAGACGGCCCGTTATCTGTCACAGAATGGTGCAAGGGCCGAAATCAATCAGTGGATGGAGGATCTATCTCTGAGGGATCTACTGCTGAGTCAACCCTGAGTGAAGGTAAAACACGAATCCTGATTATTTCTCAGTCTCACCTGGCTATCATCTAGTTGAACTCTACTGTTTCTACTGTTGTTGTTCATTGATATCTGATAGAGTGAATACGTGTCAATATCTCTGATGATTTTGTTATTAATAAATGTCTTGGCAAACAAGCAGCGTCAAATGTAGTAGATGGTGCGAAAGGAGAGGAGACCGCTCATAGCCAAGACATATACAGTTCAGAATTACTCCGACCAACACTTTTTGTTCTTCCATCACCTTCTATACTTGTCGGGTACGCAGATGTCTCAGTGTTGAAGTCTTATAAATATAATTTTTTCCCTGTGATTTAGAGCTTTCGTTACATAAGCACCTTTCCCCTGTGACAGGTACCAAGATGACTGGCTTAAAATATCAACCAACTCCTTGCCACATTGGGAAAAAGCCCCTTTTGAGCCATATGCTCTGCCGAAAAATGTGAGTTTTTAAGGAACTCGTCTGAGAGATATGCTTTTGTTTTCCTACCATGTAAGCCCATTGATAATTTGATATTCTTCTCCACTAAGATACCTGTGGTTGTTTTTTGTTATCTTTCGCAGATTAACTATACTGTTGTATGCCCGGATATAGATCCTTTAACCTGTGCTGCTGCTGATTTCTTCCAGCAACTTGGAACTGGTGAGTCAACGAATTTACCAATTAGGTTACACTAAAAAATGACAGGAACTGGTTTTTGTTTTTTTTTTAAAAAAAAAAACGGTTTTAAAGGAACAAAAGTTTTTCTCATCATTATGTTCTGATGAACCTTTGTTGCATAGTTTATGAGACGTGCAGACTGGGAACCCATTTGCCACATATCCTGGGAAATCAGATGGAAACTGACGCTGGAAGATTATCCTCATCTGGATTTGTTCTGCTTAATTGCCCTCAATCAATGAAGATTGAAAGCAATAACACATCGCTTCTTGGATCTCTGAGCGATTATTTTTTGTCTTTATCGAATGGGTGGAATGTGAGCAGCTATCTGAAGTCATTATCAAAAGCGCTGAAAGGTCTGAAGCTTGGGTCTTGCCTTTACACAAACCAGAAAGAAGGATCAGCTAGTCCTTGCATGGTAGGTATATGAGTTAGAAAATACATATGTAAACTGAGATAAGTATTTCTTTTTCCATTTCTATAAAGTGTAGCTGTTGACAATTGTCTTTTCTTTCAGGTAGTGTACATAGTGTGTCCATTTCCCGACCCTTCGGCAGTTTTAAGGACAATCGTGGAATCGTCTATTGCACTTGGATCAGGAATACAGCCAGATAGAGACAGGAGATCGATGCTTAACAGTCAGGTTGCAAGGGCGTTTGGTAGTTCTGCTGCTGTAGACGAGGCATCAATATCTCACATTCCAGTGCTTTCGGGGTTTAGTGTCCCTAAACTAATTCTACAAGTGGTGTCTGTTGATTCTATTTTCCGGATAACAAGTCCAAGCTTTAATGAGCTTGTTATTCTCAAGGATACTGCTTTTTCTGTTTACAATAAAGCTCGGAGAATTTCACGAGGAATGCCTAATGATGGATTTCTCTCTTCATCTTTATCAAGCAGATCCTCTTCAGCCTTGTCATCAATGAGCTCTATTTCAGGAATCTGGAAAGACTGCGTTGGTTCTCGAATGACAGGTTCTACACATCCAAGAGATGGCGAAACAGGTGGTTGGGAAAGCTCCTGGCCAATAGCAAGATCTGGAGGATTAAGCTGCGACCCAAACAGAAATGGAGATTTTTACCTTAATGATGAAATTTTCTATTTATTTGAACCACTTTTCATTCTTTCCGAGCCTGGTTCCGTGGAGCGTGGAGTTTCACCTACTTTCGGCAGCTTGGGATCTGAGTCTTCAAAGCCAATACCTGAGGATGGCGGCAGAGGTTCTGGACCTGGCGTGAATTCAATGGAAGGTATACCATCGGGATCAAGCTCCCAGGGTGATACATCCCAGCTTGAAGGAAAGGCTATTCCTAGTTTGCATTGCTGCTACGGTTGGACGGAGGACTGGAGATGGCTTGTAAGCATCTGGACGGATGCCAGGGGTGAATTGCTCGACACCCATATATTCCCCTTTGGTGGTATTAGCAGTAGACAGGATACCAAAGGGCTGCAGTGTCTTTTTGTTCAAGTTCTGCAGCAGGGATGTCAAATACTACAGGCATGTTCTTCCCCTGACAATGGATCTTTCAAACCCAGGGATTTTGTCATTACACGCATTGGAAGCTTCTTTGAGCTTGAATACCTAGGTAAATTTGCATATTTTATACCTCTTATCTTACCCTTACATACTGTTCTTGATATGAGATTTCATCCCGTTCTTATTCCAAATTCGCCGGGAAATAGATTTCGCTTCGTAACCCTGGTATCTTTGTCTACTTGAAACTGATATAACAGAGTGGCAAAAGGCAATTTACTCAGCTGGAGGTCCTGAGATTAAGAAGTGGCCGATTCAACTTCGACGCTCTGCTCCTTCTGGCGTAGCCACCAATAACAACGGATCTTCCTTGCAACAGCAGGATCTGAGTTTGATTCAAGAGAGAGCCTCGTCAACTAGCACACTCTACAGCTCTCATGCAAAGCCATCCACCTTTGTGAAAGGCACGATGGGGCAATCTGCTGGAAGAAAGCAGATAATGGGTGGGCAAACTATTTCTGGTACTCCAAGGGGTTTGTTTCAGTGGGTTCACAGCATCAGTTTTGCTTCTATCTCACTTGATCATTCTCTGCATTTTGTTCTTCCGACTGAGTTGGTATCTCCTGGTCAGTTTCTTTTTGCTTTCTATCGTTTTTTTTTTACAGTTCAATCGTATATATGTCCTGTTTGGTTGATTCTAAATTTCCACAAGAAATAAAGCAAGATTCTGACTTACCTGGTTATTATGCAGGTGGTGGCCAGAGCAGTACTGGTATGAGTTCGATAAATTACATTGAAGGTTTCACTCCTGTCAAGTCTCTTGGGTCAACGGCTTTCTCTTACATGATGATACCATCACCCAACATGCGTTTTCTTCACCCAAGTCCTCTTCAGCTTCCTACATGCTTAACTGCGGAATCACCTCCGCTTGCTCACCTCCTTCACAGCAAAGGCTGTGCAATCCCCTTGTCTACTGGATTTGTTGTTTCAAAAGCTGTGCCTTCCATGAGAAAGGACTCGAGAATAAACATGAAGGAAGAATGGCCATCCGTTCTCTCTGTAAGTCTCATAGACTATTATGGTGGTTATGACCACGCTCATGACAAAATTCGTCAAGGAATCATGAAGCAAGGCGGGGGAATCAAAGAAACTAGAGATTTTGAGGTTGAAAGCCATCTTATCCTTGAGTCAGTTGCGGCAGAACTTCATGCTCTATCGTGGATGACTGTTAGTCCAGCATATCTGGATAGGCGGACGGCGTTGCCGTTTCACTGTGATATGGTTCTTAGATTGAGACGTCTGCTTCATTTTGCGGATAAAGAAGTCTCCAGACTACCAGATAAATCGGGAGTTTGAAAGAAAGCAGCAGCATACATTTAAGGCACTTCGGTTTCTCGGGGTAGTTCACCGGTGCTATACGTTATAAAGTAGGAAGAAATGGTGTAGATCTACTAGATGTAGTCCAGGTTTTTATTTGGGGCTTATAAAATCTGTAAAAAAAATAGCATTTACGGCTTGCTCTACTGGTTTCACTTTAGGTGAATAGATTAGTTTCGTTATTACCCCTTACCTTGTATTTGTAATTTACTTTATTTATAATTCCTCTGTAAATTTGGCACGACATTCAGTTTGGTTTCCCAGGGCGCAGACTTTTTTTCTTGTAGAACTCCGGCTACTTTTGAGGCTGGACATAATGGTTTTCTATTTATTAGTCACATAATAACTGATCCTATGAGTTGTGCAGCTGAAGATTTTGACAATAAACTCGGTTCTCAGTACTCAAGAGTCTCTCTTCCATCTTTGGGACCATCTTGCGACTATCTGTTTGCCAGCCTATAGATTGCAACTTGCTTCGGTGTTTATAAGAGACCTCTCTACATTATTGGAGTTGCTCCTGTTTCTTATGCTGGTAAGCTATTTATCTTTAGGTTTTGTTTCATAAAAGGAGTTTACTTAGTGTCCGTCTTTGACCATTGAACTTGCGATTTTCAGGACACAAGAATATGGATGGAGAGCTAGTAATTGGACAATAAAAGCGGCGGCCAGTTACAAAGACGTTTGTTTTTATTTCCAGGCAAAGGTAATGAGAACTTAAATGCTATGGCATGGTCCCATTCTTTCTTCTATGCATCACATGGCTTTAACAGATTCTTGTCTGAAACGTCCAACATTCCCAGTCTTACCCTTTTAGTTTATTCTGTTATGTATACAGACAGAGTAAGGTTCTATTAAGAAATGAAAGATTGGTGAGTGGGTGGTTTGTTTTGGGTCCCTATGAATGCTTTAACACTTAATTAGTTAATTTCCAAGAAGATGACTTCAGATGCTTTGTATTTAGGATAAGCTTGATAGGTTTTTGCACTCGTATTTGTGATTCAGATTAGGTTTTAACTCCTGCTGATTTTCTATCTATATTTGTTCTTTATGATAGAAAAAGAGAATGTTTAGTCTAGTATCTATCTCTGATCTACATTCATGAGATAACATTTATTGTGGTGGTCATCTTTACCTTTCATTCTGGGGTGAGTCACATGGATACTCATGTTGCCTTAAGGCACCATAACACCATGATGATGATGATGATGATGTCGGCATCATAATGCCCCCACACAACCTTCCAAATACAGCTCATCACATCATTGATTCCACCGACCTCAAGATAATTTCCCTCTCTTATTATTGATCTTTGTGTGAACCCAAATCAATGACATCTGATATTTTGTAAGTTCCATATAACAAGTTATGTGATGCTTTTCATGGATTTGTGGACAGATTGTAAGAAAAACGAATCCATAAACAGTCTGACGACTGATGATACGTAAATACATACAAGCACATATAGAAACAGATGGTTACATTAAGAATAATACAAGACTCTATGATAACAATAGAGTCAAATCACACAAACTCATTAACCAAAACAATAAAATGAATGGAGAAAAAAAAAAGAATGATAAGTGTGTGTGTTTCGGGCTCAAAAGAGAAGACCAGATGCCAAAGCAACAACAGATGCAAACAATGCCGGTACAAACATAGCAGCATCAGAAGTTGGGCTTGGAGCCGGAGCCTCCATGGTGGCGGCCGCAACTTGTCCTACGGCTGAGAAAGCCACTGCAACGGCCATGAAAACAACCATCATCTTCATTGCCTCCATTGCTTCTCTCTTTGATGTATGAAGAAGAAAGAAAGATTTTGTTGTTCTTTGGTGTATGTGTGTGTGTGTTTGTGATGATAATAGTTGTGGGGATGGTATTGTCTATTTATACAAAAGTTGAAGGAGATTTTACAGCTGGCGAATTGGCTGTCTCTTGGCCCAAACCACATTCTTCTCTTTCTCAACCACTGTCCTTTTTTTCTTTCCAACCTCACATTTTAAAAATGCTTTTACTAATTTGTTTTGTTTAATTATATCATTACTTTTTTGTTTGTGTGTTCACATGACTAGTTCAAAAGAAAAAAAGTAACAATAAATTGATTAGTGTTTTTCTTCTTTTTACTCTAATTACGTTTTATTCTTGTGTATTTAGAGATTAGCTGTTGCCTATTAGTTAACATAGTAATTTTGAGAATTTAAAGAGGAAATGTGAAAAGTAAAGTAATCGTTCGTAAGCGAGTCTACTAAACATTGAAACTTTGATTGTTAACAAACCCAATTTTTTCATTGATTATATACTTAACGTATCTGCTGCCTAATTATCTTCAACGATTATTTTCTTTCTTTCTTTCTAGAATACTCCTTTAAGAATTACTTTATAGTGTTTTTCATTTCATTAAAGGGTCAATTAGCCGTTTTAGTGTTTCCTTGAAATTAAACAAGTTCTGTCCCAACGTTCACGTTCACACCAAACTATGAAAATGACCAACAACCCCATTACAGGTTAATGTATAATATTTTTCTTAATGACTGTTAATTTTGATTTTTCTTCCTTTGGTCATTGCAATACTGTAATGGAATAGCACATTCGTTGTAATTATAAACAAAAATCAAACTGACAAATAAGAGGATAACAAATAAAAATAGCTGGAAAAAATTAAAAATACCAAACATATAATTATGCATAATCATAAGCTGTTTTAGTGGACCCGGAAACCATAACAAACCAAGTCTTTGCTGTTGTTTTTGTTTTCGGATTTCGAAATTAAAACGAGTTGTTATCTCTCTTTTATTTTGATTTTAATATATAACTATTTTCAGTTTCGTGAGCTGCATATAATTCTCCTTCCCATTTTTTTTAATGAATTAGCACTAACGGTTGAAGTTTTAAATCAGCAAATTAATTGTCTAAACAAGGCCGCAACGAGAAAGTGAGATTCAAAATTTTAACTTATGTTAATTATTAAATAAAAGTTTAAACTTTTTTGACCAACGCATAATGAGTTCCAATTTGGAACAATTTAACTTTGAAATTTATTGGACCGCTGGTGTGATTCAGATCTAGTTCCTTTGTTCAAAAACCTGTAATGAAAACTTTGTTTTGCATCCTATTTACAGTTTCTTAGGAAGTCATGGAGAAACAAATATTACCACCATTTCATACAATAAAAAATAGTATGGATTAGTGACTAATGCAGTTTTCTTTCTTCAATAGTACTAAATACAAATATATACTCTAACAAAAAGATAACAAATATATACGTTTTGTCTTTGAGCTTCTAATTCTTTTGTTTTTCCTCACTCAGACTAGTATTAGGCCATGATTGTTAAAAGTTTTTAAATTTATTTTTAAAAAATTTTGATTTTGAATTTTTAGTTTTTGATTTTTGCTGTAGGATTTGGTTTCTTTTTAAAACTTGAATGATGATTTTTTCTCTTTGTCCATACGTTTCTTATATTTCCGAATTCAAGAAAAATATTAGTATGACATGTAAGTAGTTTAAAACAAGCTCATTTATTCTCATAAGAGCTTAATGAAAAAAGATAAAATGGATTGAGATAAAATCAACTCATAAAGCTTTATATATTCAAATGCAAAAGAAAAAAAAAAGCTTTAACTTGTAACAAAAATCAGGTGGATTACGTTGATATAACTCTCAAGGTTACAAAAGAAGTTCTCATAAGATAAATATTTATACTTGCTAAACCCTAAACACATGGACTTCATTAACTTTGTGTTGCATACATGGGCTTGGATATAAGGATGGTATAATTCTCTCGCAAACTTGACATGGGTGGAACATTGAATACTTTTCCGCAAAGTTGTGTTTCCAAACTTAGCAATGTTGCTTTCGCCTGATGCCAAGTTTGCGAGAGAATATTAACACAAGTCCAATATGATGTTGAAACCTATGTGTTTATGGTTTTAAGCAAATCAGAGTAGTATAAATACCTGTTTTATGAGAACTATTAATGTAACCTTGAGAGTTGCTTTGTGTTCAATCAAAATCATTTTAGTCTTGATGCTCAAATGAACTATTTACCTTTCGATATTTTTAACTCTCGATCTTTTTACCTTTTGATCTTATTCAATATTCAGTAAATTCATTTAAGCAAAAATTTTACTTGTCTTGAATCTACTCACAATACCATGCGGTTAACTTTAGTACGAGTCTTTTGAAATCAAGATACAATGATTTGAAATTTATTGGGCCTCATAGCAGCCCAATATATATTTCTATAGATTTAGCTTGCGAGTTACGATTAACTTTATAGCCATTTCCTAATTTAATTGCTTAAATAAAAAGAGAAATAAAATAAAGCTAATTATTCAAGTAAACAATATGTTTTTTTCTTGAATGACAAAACGAATTATTCAAGTAAACAATATGTTTCTTTCTTAAATGACAAAACTGAGTTATTCAAGTAAACAATTGTTTGTAGATGAGAAAACTAATATTTATTAGGCTTGGGCACGGGACTAGTACTTGTCATTTTTGGTATACTTGATACTTGATTTGCCCCGTTTAAGTATCAAGATATTTGTACGTGTACTTGACTTGTTAATATCAAATACTAGTACTTACCAAATTTTTAATTACTTGCAAGTTACTTGGTTTGTCCCGTTACTTGTAAAAGTACAAATAAAATACTAAAAAAACTAAAATTTCGGGCCATATTTAATTAAAACCTATGATAATATTTAATATTTTGACCTTTAGGTTTTTGGAAAGCTTTAGATATTGAAGTCTGGCAACTTATTTATCTTTTGATAAGCATACTTTTCTTTCCTTTTTTATGTTGTAATCGATGTGGAACAAAATTAAAAAAAAAATCAGAGATTTGAAACGTGTAACGGGTCAATAAGACCAAGTAGTAACTTTTTTTTTAATACTTGATACTTGCCTTATACTTGCAAGTAATCTTCTTAAGATACTTGATACTCTACTTGATCAAAACAAGTACTTGGTTTTACGGGACAAGTACGGGTCAAGTAACGAGTACGGGATTAGTACCAAGTAATTATGCCCAGCCCTAATATTTATATATGTATATATATATGTAACTATGTAAGTGATGAAGAAAAAAATAGATGTAATAATATGAATTTGTGAAATAAAGAGATTACAAATGGATATTAGAGGCCAGAGATATGGATAAAAAGGCCACTCCTATAAGTTTGATGAAGAGTATAATTGTGTTTTTTTCTTTGAAAGGGTTTATTTCTAATCCCACGCGTATCTATGGCGCGTGAAATTCATCGCCGTAAAAGTCCAAAGTGAATCTCGAAAATCAGATGTGTTTAGCGCGTGGTACTAAATCCCTTACTGTCTTAACGCAAAATCTTAAATAAGATTTTTCTCGCCAGAAATGGAGAGATTATTATGCAGTAAACTCTGGTGTAACGTGCTCCCGTCAAAATTATACACGTGTCATAATGTAATTTGTTATTATCCGTAACGAAATTTCTCGTATTAAACACAACAGGCTAAGGCTTTTTAACTTCTAGAAGTCCATCTTGCCGTCCATTTCGTATCCGACGGTTGTCATTAACTTAAAAATGAGCAAATAAGAAAAATGTATAATAATTTATAAAAATTAGAAAAAAATGGCTAATAAAAAGGTGAGCGTCGCAGTAAAGACCAGAGAGGAGGGTAAGCAGTTCTTTTTCTTGTGTGTGTGTTTAAAGAAGATAGATAGCACAAGTCTAGTCCATAGAGAACACCCAACCAAAAAAAAAAAACAGTGTTCGATCTTCTGGTTTCATCAACCATTTAAAACAAAAATTCCAGAGAAAATCTATACACTTTCTTGGTGGAGTTTGAATCTATCTAAGAAAAAGGGAGCAACTTCATTTTGCTTTCTCTCTCTATTTTATCAAAAAAATTCATCAAATTTCTGTCTTCGGTTTCATGAAGTTTCACTCTTGTAAGTGTTTTTTAATCGTTTTGCTCTTCTTTTTGGGTTCTGCGTAAGCTATTGTCTCTGTATTTGTCTGCCAAGAAATAACTACAATGGTGGATTTGGATTTAATAGATAATTGAAGAATCGATTCTGCAGTTGTCACTCTCTTTTTTTTTTATAGAGTTTACTCTATGTTTCTAGTTTTCTTATACTATTTTGGATATTGCTACTTTGTAGTGTGATTCTGGAAGCTAAAGCCGCTGAGTTTAAATTGCAGATCTTGAGGTTAGTGAGTCTTGTTTCTACTAATTAGTTCGGATTGGTCTTCTTTATCTCTGGTCTATTTCAAATACTTGTTTAGACATCAGAAATTTGTACGACTGTAAATGGATTTTTTTCCCCTTTTGTGTGCATTTAATCTATAAAAAGGCAGGAACTTTCTCTATGCTGTTCCGATTCTTTTGCTGTCTATTTCTGGATGAATGTTTAATGTCTGAGTTAATCTCTTTGTTGGTTGTGTAAGGTTAAGTATTGTGTTATGGAAGAAGTGAAGGGACAAAGAGGAAATGGAACCACAGAGGCAGATTTTGTGTTGCAATGGGGAGAGAGGAAAAGAGTTAGATGCATGAAGGTGAAGAAAGATCAAAGCCTTACTAATGGCAAGTCAACTGATTGTTTGACTAAGCGCAAACTCATTTCGCGCGCTGTATCTTCTGAGAGAGGCTCTCCTTCTCGGCATCTTAACCGTCCAAACAAGTAAGTAGTCTGATTCAGAGCTGTTCTTCTTTGGTTGTTTTTCTAGCTTTTTGATGTAAAGCATTGTTATGTCTCTGTGGTGACAGGATCATAGATTCTCCAGGTAATGTGCGGAGATCGTTTGTGGCATCGCCTGAGAAGGAAGATAGGTACTACACAACGAGGGGTTCGATGGGTACAGATGAGACTGGAAAAATTATTAAGGAACCTGTCAAGGAAACCAAGAAACATGTGTGGCCAAAGTTGTTTATAACTTTGTCAAATAAAGAGAAGGAAGAAGATTTCTTGGCTATGAAAGGGTGCAAGCTTCCTCAAAGACCAAAGAAACGAGCCAAATTGGTTCAGAAGACATTGCTTGTGAGTCCCTTCACCACTTTTGTTCTTCATAATTCTTCCATGGACCATGGTGATGCAATTTTCATGGTATGTATGTTTCACGCAGCTGGTGAGTCCAGGTACTTGGTTATCAGATCTGTGCAAAGAGAGGTATGAAGTAAGAGAGAAGAAGACTTCAAAGAAGGTATCTGCTTGCTTTTCACTTACTTGTCTCTTCCCACAATAGATAGTGAAAACACTTGGTTTTATTTTGTGGATGCAAATATGATGTGCTAATTTCATGTTTTAATGAAGCGACCAAGAGGATTGAAGGCAATGGGGAGCATGGAAAGCGATTCAGAGTGAAGAACGGTCGAACAAAATTGGTTCGGACTTAAAGAAATATTCAAGATCTTGGTGAGGCTATGAAGGAGACGACGCACAAGGATATATTTATTTGTTTAAACACATTTTGAGAAGCTTCTCTTCTTTACCGATCAAACTATGAGCCACTTGTATTTTTGCTGATGTTTTGCTTTCGAAGCTAATCTAAGTCTTGGTAATCAAAATCACTTTTCTCAGCCTTTTTATTGTTTAACTTGTTGATTCTGCATTTAGACAGTTCATGTCTACATGATGAGAAGTGGTTAATGAATCTCTGTTTAAAAATGGATGAGCAAGAGTATGAGAACTCTAAACACAGATCAAGATGTATGAAAATTCATATATTAGAGTGGAAACGAAATTTTCCAGAGCACGCAAGAGTATGAGAATTCATATATTAGAGTGGAAACGAAATCTGCACACAGATTAGCGTCTGAATATTACAACACACCAACCAAAACTGCAGCTACCACTACCTGTTACCAAACATTTACCTAACAAGTCACAAGTCTCCTATTTCCCTTCTTGTTTTCTCAGTCACGAAGTAGTTATTCTAAATTTAATAAATCTGTACTTGTCACAATACCTACAAATTTACATTTGATGCGTGTCCTATGATCCAGATGGAATGATGGTGAGTCATGCCTGCAAAGTGCTTTCTCCAGTGCACTTTATCCTCTGAGCCGCTAGCGTTGTGCCGCAGATCAGGAAAACAACTAAAACGTTTTATTCCAAGACCTCAAAGATTCACCAGATAATGGCCAGCTATTAGATCAGATGCTGTTCACGAGGGAGTTAAGTCTAAATGTGAGGAATCGTGAGTGATATGACCAGGATGGAGCAATCCTTGCAGGAAGGTTAAGAACTTTACCTTCTCTTATGTTACACCGATTGCGGGCAAACAAGTGTTTAACATTGAGACATCAGCCGTTTGATTCCTTGAACAACACAAGCACTTGGATAACTTTCCTGGCATGCCAGCTGATGAAAAAGGAGGAGAGAGCCATCTGGCTGTAAGGGAACTACAAAGCTTCAAGGACAATGGAGGCTTTTGTGAAGACTGAAAGAACAAAAGGTGCTTCTTCCCCTGGGTGTATAGTGGTCGGGACGATAGTATAACCCTTAGGATCAGGATCAAGAACCATTTCACATGATATCTCACGGGAATTCACATAGTCTGTTCCACCAACAGATTCATGAAGAAATATGTTGTAAGCAGCACGATGTCCACGAGTCTTAAGAATCCTCATTCCAATATAGAACAACTGCGAATCATGGCTTGATTGGTAGTTACGAAATCCAGGAGTTGTTCTTGAGAAACCTACGCCCTGTAAGTAAACATTGGGAAAATGAGATTTCACCTTATCAGAGGATATGAATTACTTGGAGTGAAACAAAAAAGGTTTCCATCAAGATGTAGCATGTGCCTGAGTTAAGGTGATGAAAACATGAATCGGCAAAGATGCATCAGAACCAGTAGCCCTTAGCCGGAATTGTGGATTTTGATGCCAAGAGCTATAATCTTGGCAGCCACCCGCACTATAATTTCGCCATTGGCCATGGACTGAATAGCGCATCTCACGAGGGTATACCCGACAAACATATATCGATCTGAACTGAATCTGGAAGTCTTGCCAAGACATCCAGAATATACCTTCGTCTGACTGTTGATCAGAATGCACAGGATCAGCACGCAACATACTTTAATGGAAAGACTCATTTACATATATTTATGTGCAAGTATGTGTTTGTATGCATTTAAGTGAAGTACAATAGAAATTACCTGTGGAACATACTTCAGCTTGTGCTTCATCCTATCACTCCAGTCTGGGGATGAGTCTGACCAGGGACCATTCCACTCAACTTCATTAGCCCATGGGTTTCGGATCTGAACAAGCCTGTGCCCATCGACCTCCCTCACCTGAAGAGAGCGTAAGTCAAATTTCTAAAACGCGTTTCCCTACTCAGCATATCACAAATGCAACCAAAGCAACAGGGAATACCTGTAAGACGGAGTAAGCATGCCCTTGCACAATGCCACTGGAAGATACATGAACATCAGATCCTGATGGACTTCCAGCACCAAGTAAGAAACCCTCTTGTTTAAAGCGTAACAGTTGAGACCATAATCTGCCACTTGCAAGATCAATTTGTGCTTGAGCACTCCTCAAGTCAATCTCCTCACCAGCACCTCCAGTTAGGTCAACAAGAGCGTCCTGAACCAGTCCCCCCTCCAGTGCCTCATAAGAACCATGGAGCTTGGCGTATGCTTTCTCCACTATGGAGACCCAGAGTTCATTAAGTTTTTTGCTAGTAGCAAAGGCTGGTTTACCAGGTGATTCACATGGAATCCAGTCATCGATAACAACGGGAACCCACTCACCCTGCAAGTAGAAAGCAAGTAAACTTGAAACTTCTGACTGTATGGAAATCATAAAGGAAGCTACAACAATCTATCATCATGAGAGCAAGGCAGCACAGTGAATTTTTATTTTGAGATAACAACCTGAATACAAAAGCGAACAGTGTAGATTCCTTCCTCGTTGTATTCAGGAGTAATAATCACTTCAGATATTCGAGAAGCCTCTGTCAGAACTGCAACAGCGCTTAAAAACCAACAATCGCCTAAACGCCCCTATAGAACAAGTTAAACCAATGATAACAATAAATCTCGGGATCATTCTGAATCAAATGCGTACAACAAGAAGAACTTGGTCAAGAAGAATATTTCGTGCATCAGAGGGAGGTGTCACATATTTATAAAAGTGATCAAACCTGGCAAACATCTGATGGATTTGCAGCCCCAGAGAACAGGCAGGGATGAGAATCACTACCGTTCTCTTTCACAATAGAATCAGGTCTCATCCATTCAGAAACAACCTGAATTGTGACAAGCGCAAAAGGTTAGAATGCCCATCAAATTGTTAATTTTTTAGTCCACTTGAAGGGGGATTATGAATTCAAAACAAAATAATCACACGACGAGTCAAAATGTTCAACCAATAACAGAAGGAGAAGAATTTCATAATCCATACCTGCAATTTTGAAGGGGGGTTTTGTGTATCCACAAATAAAGAGCGATCATTTGGAGGAAACTCCTGGTCAGTAAATTGCTTATCCCCTCGTGCAGAGAGAGCTTCTTTGACAGCCAACTCAACTGAACGCATTCTCTGATTTATTTCTTCTTGTGTCTCCATCCTGGGTTTCCTGTATCTTCTAGCAAACGAATCGACACTAAAAAGAAAATCCCGACCTGATCTTCTTTTCCTCCCACTGGAATATTGTCCATCCCAATCTACATCATCCCTATCATAGAGATCAACATCAGCAGGATCACTATCCCAACCATCGACCTGGTAAAAGAGAAAAGAAGACCAATGAGAATCAGCATGAGCTTAAACAATAGCCTCCACAAATCATGAAAAATATGCCAACATTCAACAGGAGAAAACATACTCTGGGTGGTGAATCCGTCCATTGCCAATTGTCATCAGACAAATCAATCATGTCTAAGTCAGCCATGCCAATGGCTGCATGCAAAGAAGCGGCCTCATCTTCAGTTAAACATTTTCCCCAAAGGAAAACATCCATTATATGCATCTTTGACTCGGCTCCATCACTATCTGATCTGCCGAATGCATCGACATCTATAGGTGGCCTCACACCCAACCAAACTTCAGCGCCTTGTTCCCAAACGGCACTACCAATACTTAGAGGTAACCCAGTCTGGTAGCCATCGAATCCACCATCTAAGTAACAAGTAGCCTCCCCCGCATCAGCGTCAATAGTGATTGTCACTGTATGCCACCTGAAAGATCATGAGAAATAGTATCACAAAAGTCGTACAATAAAAATCTGACAATACGGATACTGAGGGGACAAAAAAAGGCAGACCTTCCATCAGTTATGCTAGTTGCACCAATATACCACTCTCTGGCAACGGTTGTCTGCCTCTCACCTTTAGTGATCAACCTAAGGCCAACTTGGCCAGCCTCAATTCCTTGCTCAGAACCAGCAACCAGAATCTCCCAACATACTTTCTTTTGATATTCAGTGCCAAAAAGACATACGGGTCCAGAATCGGGTTGAATCATTGCTGTAATGGATAAGCTAATCTTCTGACTTTGACAGACACTCAAGTCCATTTGGCCGCAATGTTTACCACTTATCATAGGTTCATCGTCAAGAACACAAACTCCCCCAGGAATTCCAGTCTGGAAATAAGTTTTATTAGTTAATTATCCAGTGGTCAGCTTCAATAGAAAGTACACTTACAAAATAAAATTAAAAGTTACCAGTTGTGCACGTCGGTCTAGTTGAGCAGTGCGTATCCTACGTGCAATACCCGAGACTCTCTCTCTTGCAAAGGAATCCTCAAGGACAGAATCACCCCCAACAGCACGTATGGCGGCTGCCATGGCTGCTGCCTCTCTGCTACCAGCATTAGGAATAGATGGAATAAGGGAGGCTTCAATTTCCTTCCATTTGCGCTCTTCCTTTTCCAAAAGAGCTTTCCTTCTTTCTTTACCTCTCCCTTCTTCCTCACGTCTCTGCATAAGGATTTCCTCTTCCATCTCTTTCTCTCTCAGATAACTTGTGTTTACAGCACAGGGAAAAAAATAAGCAACAAGTCTTGAGTATTCAGCTTCATTAAACCACTAATTGAAAGAAACGTGTACCTCTCTTGGATAATTTCAAATTGTCTTCTATCCTCTGGTTTCCATTTACTGATTTTTCTGGCACTTAAGTCAGAGAACCCAATGCTATCTAAGAATAGTCGCAAGCGTACCTCATCCTACAACATCATGGTAATCTTGTCTTAGGAAAAATAAATAGAGAAGAGTATATGAAAAGTTAGAATCAGGACTCACCTGAATACTCTCCGCCTTAGCTGTCAAACCTAACAATAACAATAAATAACCACCAAACTTGTCCCACATGTACACCCACTCTGTATCAATTGCCTCTTCCAGTGCCAAAACCCTTGCATGGGCACACATGTCTCTTCTGTAATCCACATTTGTAGCTGGTTCATGACGGAATCTTTTCCTGCATTGCATTCTGTAGAAGAACGATCCAGCAACTCTTTCTTCATTCCTGAGACGATCCCTTAATTTCACGACATCATCTCTAGGAAGCACAGAGTTCCCTGCTTTATCACGCATTGCAGAGGGGTCCCCAACCAGAAGAGCTGCAGAG